GCAAAAGGGGAGGGGGGTCCTAGGTTGCCTTTTGTCTCAGGCAGCCAAATGACTTGGGGTGACCTTGAGATTCATGTCCCTACGGTCCCTGCATCCACCCCAGTTCCCTCCCGGCGATCCGCACCGCACAACCCTGTGGCACTCCTGCCCCGGCGTACCCTTCAGGAGCGGGTTCACTGCGTACTTCGTATGTAAGCGCTGGCACCGCAGTTCCTTCTGGATCGTCTCGGTGAAGATCTTGTTCCAGCTTACGGGATCCAAAGGTTCCCTAGGGGCCCCTTTGGTCCCTGCCATATGATGGTTTCTGGAGAACAATGAGAAGAAACCCAGAACAGCCCCGCCGTCCCTTCTGCTTCCGCGGGTGGTGTTCCCTCTCCCGCCCCTTTGGTCTCCTAGCAACCGAATGCGCCCAACTTCTGGTGGGAGGGGCTCCAGAAGCAGCCGCAATTGAAGGGCGAGAACGTCACAAGCCAAAGCTTGGATATGCCGGCGATTCTGGCCCCGCCCCCCATGTCTCTTTATTGGCCGAGAAGTTAAAGCTCCCGAAACGCCGATTGGCTGTTGGGACCAGAGCTGAAGGTTTGAATCCGCGTGCGGTAGATCCTAAGCGTGGAACGTCAGATGCAAGAATCAAGGTGCAGAAACCACAGAGCCGGTGCTTTTTAAACCTCCGATATTTAGAGCGTCCATTTCTGCACCGACTACCAATTCTAGCCGGTCTCGTCCCACATTTCTGGGCTGGTCCGAATGCAACCAGGCTCCGAAGCCGACGGGCAGGTTCGCTGCACGGTCGCAATTGAGCACTTGGGCGCCGCTGCAGCAGCAGCCCCGAAGCGGCGGCTACTCCGTGATGCCTTGGTGACGCTGGGCCGGGACGAGTTTCGGTCGCTGGTTTTGCAAGTGGCGGATGCTAGCCGAGCCGGGCGTCCCCAAAACTTCCCCTTGCGACCAGGTGAGGTGCGAGTGTTCACACGTTTCGTCAAGGAAGGGAAGAGCTCCATCCGGCTGGGTCCAGCGGGCCCTACCCATGTGCAGCTGCTCTTCTCCAACTGCCCTCCCGACCGGTTGCGCCGCTTCGTCCAGACGCTGCGCATCAAATTCGGAGCCGCCCCGGAGGGGATCAAGCCGGTCTCCGAGCGGACGAGGCTCCTCTCCGGCCTGCCGCGCACGTTCGACACCGTGAGCCCGGTGCAAGCCCGGGACTGGCAGCAGGCACGCGCCCGGCCCGCTCTGGCTGATGTCGCCGCCAGCCCGGTGAAAGGCGAGACCCGACGAGGTGCGGCGCCTCGGAAGCGGGCTCGGAGCGGCTCCGTCGATGGGAATCAGGTAAACCGGCAGGGTCTTGAACGCTCAGCCCTCACTCATTCTGGGGTTCAGCCTGCTGGTCAGGTCCGTGCTTAAGCACCTTGGGCTCGCAGGGGCGAAGTTCTTGGGACTGTAAGGCCAGGTGGCCTCCCACTTCTCCTGTTGCGATCTATTCTTTGTAATATATTTTCCTTTTGGAAAAAGGATAGAGATCCATGAAAGTTACAAAAGACCTACTCCTTACACAGTGATGAAAACTGCTAGAATTAGTTTGGCGGTCGTATGTCCCATCAGGTAGATTCTGACTTTTGGCAACCTTTTCCAGGGTTTCTAAGTAGAGAATATTCAGGAGTATTTTACCACTCCCTTTCTCTGGGGGCATCCTGGGACTGTACAGCTTTTGCCCATGACTACACAGTTTAGCTCTTCTCTTTGGAGACATAGTGGAAAATTGAACTCCCAGCATTTGGCTCCACTGCCCTCTGCATGCTCTTCTTCAGGGCATGACTGTCAGATGGCTGTTCTTGTATCATTTCTGAATCTGACCAAAATTTTATTTGTTTATTAACTGAACTATTTTAACCCAATTTCAGCAGATTCCAGGGCAGATTAATAACATAATAATTAAGTGCTGCCAAGTAAATTCTGGCTTACAGAGACCCTTTCTAGGGTTTCCTAGCTATAGAATACTCATGAACCAACCTTTTCCAGGGTTTCTAAGTAGAGAATATTCAGGAGTATTTTACCACTCCCTTTCTCTGGGGGCATCCTGGGACTGTACAGCTTGTGCCCATGACTACACAATTTAGCTCTTCTCTTTGGAGACATAGTGGAAAATTGAACTCCCAACATTTGGCTCCACCACCCTCTGCATGCTCTTCTTCAGAGCATGACTGTCAGATGGCTGTTATTGTATCATTTCTGAATCTGACCAAAATTTTATTTGTTTATTATTTATTAGCTGAACGATTTTAACCCAATTTAAGCAGATCCCAGGGCAGATTAATAATATAACAATAATTAAGTGCTGCCAAGTAAATTCCGACTTAGAGACCCTTTCTAGGGTTTTCTAGCTAGAGAATACTCATAAATTGTTTACCATTTCCTTCTTCCAGGGGTGCTCTACAATCAATAAAATCTTAAAATAACCCAACACATTTCAAATAGTTAAAAACAATCTAAAATGTCCACCACCCTCTGCATGCTCTTCTTCAGAGCATGACTGTCAGATGGCTGTTATTGTATCATTTCTGAATCTGACCAAAATTTTATTTGTTTATTATTTATTAGCTGAACGATTTTAACCCAATTTAAGCAGATCCCAGGGCAGATTAATAATATAACAATAATTAAGTGCTGCCAAGTAAATTCCGACTTAGAGACCCTTTCTAGGGTTTTCTAGCTAGAGAATACTCATAAATTGTTTACCATTTCCTTCTTCCAGGGGTGCTCTACAATCAATAAAATAATCTTAAAAGAACCCAACACATTTCAAATATTTAAAAACAATCTAAAATGGGTTTAAACAATTTAACAATTCAAGCAAAACAAGAGAAGAAAAATGAAGGCATGGGAGCATATTAAACCATTATCTTCCTAGTGCTGAATATGCTTCTAGGAAGAGAATGTAAGGAGGAAAGAGAGGCGGCAGTGTTTGCTACCATACTAATGGCTCCGAAGACATGGTAGCCTATATAAATCCTCCATTAATTATGTTTTTACTTGTATTGGTTAAAAAAAATACAGGTTGACATAAACTGTAATATTCTTGGGAAGCTATCTCCACTGATTTAGGGGTGCAATTATTTATTGACCAGATATGTATATGGTCAGTGTAAGAACATTATCTGGATTGTCCTTGTAGATGTCCTTGGTCTGATCCAGCAACAATTGTCTCAGACTGCAGATTGGCCATGCTTTGAGGAATCCATGGAGAGGCTACCATCAGTCAGAATTACATTCAGCTCCATTCAGAGCAAGATTCCAGGATAGTCTCATGAGGATACAAAGCACTGGCAAAGACAGATGGAATGAGTGCTTGGAAAAATTAGCTTTTGGACTGCAAATTTCAGAGGCCTTCTGGTGTCCATGCTGTCATGAAGATTTGTGGAGTTGTAGTCAAAAAAATAAACTTTTCCACTCTTTGGGATGAATTGCTTGATGTAAGAAGGCTTCGTTGCCCAGTTATGGAGATAGACATTAACAAGCAATAATGCCTATGGCTCAGACTGCTACTAAATATACAGAAGCTTGGGAAAATAATAAGGGCACCCCTATCGGGGGGAGTGGGCTGATTTCATCTTAGCATCTCCTCTAGACATCTGTTTCCTTCGTAAATGTTTGAGAAAAGCAAATGTTAGTAAAAGCAAACATAATATTCATGCTCTCCAAATATAGGTTGCTTTGGGCAAAGTGGGACTCAAGCCATTATAATTCAGGACAGAGAGACATTTCCCCCCCTTCTGGTTAGCTATGCACAAGTGATTGGGGAGGTTCTTTCAGAAGCCTTTCAGGTTCAGTGAAGTTTGAGAGTAAGACCCATACCTTGGGGAGTGTGTTTGATTCACAGCTTGGAACTTCCTTCCAGGTAACAGAAAGGCAGCAGCCAAAGAAGTCTTGGTCACTGAGCTCACGAGCAACACTCTCCCAGGAGCAGTTGATGGTGCTGAGTGCTGTGATGAGTGGGAAGAATGTCTTCTTCACAGGCAGTGCTGGTGAGTGGAAATGGCTCAAGGAGAAGTGTGAATGAGTGGGCCCCCACAGGAGAGAAACAGAAATGGCTTCATCTGGCACACTGAGAATAACAGTTTTCTCCTACGACTCGAGCCATGTTGGAGAGTCAAGGTCATCAACAGCCCTTCTTGTCCTTTATGCAGCCTTAGTAGGGACAACACCCCTGAGAAGATAGGATCTTGCTATTGATCTCTCTGTTTTGGTGATTGGGATAGACTGTGATTCACAGGCAGTGCTGGTGAGTGGAAATGGGTCAAAGAGAAGTGTGTTCTCTCCACAGGAGAGAAACAGAAATGGTTTCTTCTGGCACACTGAGAATAACAGTTTTCTTCTATGACTTGAGCCATCTTGGAGAATCAAGGTCATCAACAGTCCTTTATGCAGCCTTAGTAGGGACAATGCCCCTGAGAAGATAGGCTCTTGCTATTGATCTCTCTGTTTTGGTGATTGGGATAGACTGTGGTCTTGTTAATATGCAATACAATCCCAAGTTTCTTTACTCAGAGGTTAGTTTGTTGTCACTGCTGACCTAGGGAGACCCTAACAGGGGTTTTGAGGTATGTGAGATAGTCAAGGAGTGTGTTATCTTTGTCACCCGTACCTTGAGTTTAGTGCCCCAAAGTTAAATCAGATTTAAATCCAATTCATTTGGGTTGAAAATGCAATGTAAATGCCACTGCACCCACATCAAATTCTGCATGATACTGTTTGAAACGTTCTGATCTTATGAGAAGCTGTGTGGTAGCCTTGTGAGTTTGTGGCAGCAAAAACAACAAAGAGCTTTCGGCACCTTAAAGACTAACAGTGTTCATTTAACTTCAGTTTTTTGTAGACTGTAGCCCACTCAGATTGTGTTTTGTCTAAAGATGACTCTTCTTTCCAAAGGGACTGGAAAATCCTTCCTGCTAAAAAAGATTGTGGCGTCACTGCCTCCAAACAGCACATGGGCCACAGCCAGCACAGGAGTGGCAGCGTGTCAGATTGGTGGCACCACCCTTCACGCCTTTGCAGGTACTTGAAGTTTAGGAGGGAAGGCAGGCAGGTTGAAGAAGCGAAGTGCAAAAGTGTCCCTGACATGCAATTCTCTGTTTTTCCTTTGTAGGCATCGGCTCAGGAAAGGCCCCCTTACCTCAGTGCATTGAGCTGGCTCAGAGGCCTGGGGTTCGGCAGCAATGGCTGAACTGCCGCCATCTGATCATTGATGAGATCTCTATGGTTGAGGGTGAATTTTTTGATAAACTGGAGGCAGTGGCCAGGTGTGTTGAAACATTATTTTCTGGGGATGTTCCTGCACTCATATGAATCCTGTGGGACAAGACCTTGGGGTATCAAGAGGGCAGAATAGCAAGTCTTTCATTTTAAAGTTCCACCTAAACATTTTCTGCACTTTACTTTTTTTTGTGGGGAGAAAGGAGCAGAACAGAGAGAAAGAGCACTTTTACCAAAGTGTTTGATTGATAGGTCCTGTAGGAAACAACCCTAAATCTATACCTATAGTCAGGAGTGCTTTTCAGTCCCATGTCTGGTCTTGGCACCACCACAGCCGTTGTCCAACATTTGCCTTTTCTGTCCTCCAGGCAGCTGACTTCATGCTCATTGGCCTGGTTCCTGTGCTTCTCTCTTCATGACCTGCCATGGTTCTCAGAACACACCTTGAGCATAATGTGGTTGCGGGAAGGAGAGCTTGTGGCCAGCTAGGGTAGCTCATCTTGCATGCAAACTGATGCAGTTGCTCCTATTTTGGTTGCTAAAAAACAGGGCACTAATGCTGAATCCAAGAGAGGACTCAGTCCTTTCCTTGTCTTTGTGGAACTAGACATTATGCAAAATTTGTAAGAAATGTGGGTGCTTTGTGGCTTGAGCAAAAGCTAAAGGATATTCCTAACAAAGCGATACATCAGAGGTTTTCAGAATGTCTCTAGAGAGAATTATTTAGTTCATTATCTCAGCAATGCTTATGGCTATCTTGCAACATGAGTTGCTGTTTTCTTATATTAACAGAGGGATGGGGATTCATAGAATGGCTGTCCTATCAGTGTATGAATGAGTTGAGACATCTGGCTTTAGGACTGCATATCTCTACTCCAAATATAGGACAACTTGCCAGAACTCCTTGGTTTCTGGTATGCAACATTACCCTAGTGTCTTACATTTAGATTCCATAAGAATCACATGCTAATGTCTATAATCCAAGGGACATGCCAAATATTATGTGATTTTGGAAGCTAAGCAGCATCAAGCCTGATTAGTGTCTGGATGGGTGACCAACAAGAAAAACAAGGGATTGCCCAATAGGGTTAGAGAATTCTGCCTGAACCCTGATAACTGCTTCCAGATGAAGTTGAAAATGCTGGACTAGGCTGACCAAAGGCAGTACAAGGCAGCTTCCTCTGTTCTAGATTAATTAATTTATTTTTAGTGTCACTGGACTTCTACTGAGATAGGAGGTGTTACGAAGTAAGAATATCTGGTCTCTAGAAGAGGGGATGAATTTGTTCAGCTGTTGTGGGAAGGGCTTGATCAGGTCTCAAGTTTGCTTCTCCTGGATCAGGATGGGCACAGCAAACTCAGAGTGACTCTGTTCTTCTGCCTTCTTGGTAGAGCTGTTAAGAAATGTGAAGAGCCATTTGGAGGAATCCAGCTCATCATCTGTGGTGATTTCTTACAATTGCCTCCAGTCAGCAAAGCTACTGAACAGCCTAAGTTCTGCTTCCAGGTATGCTGCTTCTTCTTTTCGTGATGTGCTCTGCCACTCGCTGGACTGGAATTTGAATCAAGAGTGCTCTTTCACAGGCAAAGTGTTGGCGGAAGTGTGTCCACTTGAACATGGAGCTGACAGAGGTGCGGAGACAAACTGACAGGGAGTTCATCTCTCTTCTGAATATGGTCCGCCTGGGCAGGTAAGATGTTATTTCCTTCTTCAGTAGCATCACTGACTGCAAGAGGGGATGGACAGACAGGTTTAACTTCTTGAGCTGAAAATACCTACATACATTGTGCCTACATTCTCCTTTTTACTGGTTTTACACTGAATGCTGGTATACAGTGCTTCTGCCAAGTTTGAACATGACTGAACTGCCCCATGAATTCCTTTGAATGTATGACACTACCAGCAGTTGAGGCCTAGGGCCTTTGATGGTGGAACCATCAAAACTTATAATCCAGCTTCCAGAACCTTTCTGTCAACATGGCTACTGCATTTCCTTTTCCTATTTACCAAAAATAACAAAGCAGTTACATTGGACAGAATACTACTGTCTTATGCATGCACGTAAGGTGAATCATGTAAATGATGTTACCTGTTTCTTGGGCTGTCCATCCTGCTTCTCATATTCCCATAGTTGCAACAGCTCAGGACATGTGAAAACCACCTGAATGACTACCATTATGTACTTTTTTTGGTACTAGGATTTTGCCCATTTAGGTTACTTAAGATATGCTACTTCTTGCTACTCCTCCTCTGCAGTGCAGTCTTGCCAATACGCCCCCAACAGAGCACGAGGCAGAATCCATCACCTCCTAACTATACAAGTAAAAAAATGTAGTTACACCAGAGCAGGAACAAAATTAGTGCTCATTAAATTACAACCACAATGTAACATAATTATGCATTATAATAGTTTGTGAGTGTATACATAACTACTTAGGGCCAAGCTCTGTGGTGGTTTGCAGTAGCTGTATGGGCATGATGGGAATTGTGATACAACTCATTTGGGTTGCAGGTTAGGGGAAGGCCAGTTTGTGCTATGAATTTCTTCAATAAGGAAGGGAATTTAAAAATACTCTGTCCCATATCTATATGGGTTTGGCGTTTTCTAGAATTGCTGCAATGGCAGTTCCCTGTTCTTGCTGCTGCTGATTAGCCCAGTATGAGCTGGCTCTTGGGTTTTGATGATGGTTATGATCTTAGTGTTTGTGTGAAATAAAATAGTACATTATATGTAGCCAGTAAGATATATTTGCTAACCACGTTGAGCTATGCAAGGTAGAAAAATTCATGTCTTACCAAATATTCAAGATCACTGTGTATTTTCATTTATTTTGGATTTCCCTGTGGCTGTCTGCCAGATGCACAGAGGAGGTCACCAGGCAGTTGACCCTAACAGCTACCCACAGAGTAGAGAGAGATGGAATCCTGGCTACCCGGCTGTGCACCCACAAGGATGACGTGGAGCTTACAAATGCCAGACAGTTGCAGGAGTTATCTGGTGAGAACGAGGGAGGGAGGAGTAGCTTTTCCCTTTAGCAGATTTGCAAAGATGGAGGGTGGAGCGTCCGACTCATCCATCAGCAACAAAGGGTGGGTGCCAAAACTAGCAAGTGTTTCATGCCATTTTCTTTCTGAAGAAAACAACACTATGGGAGGCCCATTTAGACTCGAGCAGGGATTGCCATCTCTACTAGTTTCCCTGTTTTTGTTTTAATCATGTTTTGCTAGTGGTATAGGGAAAGGCAAAGGGGAGGAAGGATTTGCTTTGCTGCTGCTGCCCTAAAGCCTCAGTTGTGACAAGAACAGGGATTATATGAGATAACACCTTCATTTGAAACTGAAAGATTATGGGTTTGCATTTTAGGATTGCCATGCAGAGCTTATTATTTCTAATACTGTACTTGGAGCTTGTGTTACCCAGAGCTGTAGGACCGAATCTCTTACGGATAGCATACTGATTGGGAGAGAGGTTTGGGAAGCTGTACTTTCCAGTGACACTAGTTAATGAAAGCAGATGTAGAAAACTGAGCTTTGAGATGTTGATGGCATCTAACTCCCAGATTCTTCACTATCCCTAGAGCTGTAGTTGAAGCCCAACATAATCTGGACGGTCATGACTGGAATAAAGGGGTTGCAACTTCTTCTAAGCTTGTCCTTTTCAGGAGAGCAAAGATCCTTCAAGGCAGTGGACAGTGACCCTTTACTGGTGAAAATGATTGATGCCCAGTGTCCTGTAAGCAGTGTTATTGAGCTCAAGCAAGGTGCACAGGTGAGCAAACATCTTTGAACACCGCTTAAGCTTGAGTGGGCAGCAGGATCTGGCTTCAGTTGAGGAGGTTCTGAACTTATCTTCTGAATTTCTCATGCCAGCACCATAGTCCTTTATTTCTCTTCCTCCTCTCAATAGGATCTTTCAGAAGAAAAGATCCCTACCCTTCTGATCTGGTGTTATGAGTACAGTAAGAGTTTAAAAAAACCACATATTGACTGAAATGTATAAGAGCAGGCAAGTGGAATATTAGTATAATGACTGGCTTTTACTACAAGTGACTCTTGTATAATCATCCTGATAGCTGTAACTGTACCAATAGGTAATTGCTAATAGCAGTTTAAAACCTTAGACTGCAGATCTGGGTAGTTCATTCATTCATTCATTCATTCATTCATTCATTCATTTATTTATTTACTTACTTATTTACTTATTTATTTATTTTATTTAATTTATATGCTCCGTACTGAGTCTGAGGTGTGCACTGAACATGCAGAAGTTATTCCTGCTACTCTATTAATACTGGGTCATATGTACCTGATAAATGTGTGGCTGTTTAACTCTACTTACTTCAGGAATAAGGAAACTAGCCAAAAGCTCCCACAATCCTTTCCCATGATTGGCCATGCTTTTACTTTGGGAGCTGAAGGCCAAAACATCTGGAGAGATGAAGGTTCTCCACCCCCAGCTTATAGCCGCTTGGCAAGGAACTGAATTGCACTGCTACTGGAAGACCCTTTCGTATGAGATCTGAGATCAGTTGAGTGCATAGAAACAGTTTACTATTTGCATGGACCCTTAAACTGCCCAGTCTGCAGAATGGGATATTGTTCTGTGTCTTTCTTTTTTTGGCAACCTCTGAAAGCGCAGACTCCCTGAATGGTACAGAGAATCCATGGCTCCCGTAACAACCTCCAAATGTTTAAGCACTTAAACCACGCAGCTTCCCCTACCCTGGAGGTAGCAAGTGGGACCACTTCCAAGTCAATTATCCTATGATTCTGTGACCCTTGTCTTCAGTAGCAGTTTCAGAGTCTGCTGTGGGTGCTCGACAAGGAAAAAAAACCCTCCTAACTTTCCCCTTCTTTCCTTAGGTGATGCTTACCAAGAATCTTGACGTGTCCCGAGGGCTGGTTAATGGCGCCCGTGGTGTTGTGATAGGATTCGAGACCAAAGGAAAAGGTTGTCTTTTGCAGTGCACACTTAGAAGCTGCTAGCCTCTGAGTTGTTCCTTTGAAAAAGTTTTATTGCAGACACCTCTACCCTTTGCTACAACTTTTAAATAGAAATCTTTAAATTTTCTGGTTGCCCAGTTTTTCCTCTGTCAAGTTGTTACTGAACTGCAGATGAATTGCATTCTTATCTCCAAGTGGAGGAGCTTGGGGCTACCCTGCAGCATCTCCCAATACTTCCAATTGTGGGGTCATTTCCCTTTAATGCTTGGCTTTTGCTCTTAATACTAGCCATAGGAATCTTCCGCTTTTCTTTTCTCCTACAGAACTGCCAAAAGTCAGATTTATGTGTGGCGTCACTAATGTTGTTCAGGTTGAAAGATGGGTTTTAAAGGGACCAGCAGGAACACATTTGACTCGCCAGCAGCTGCCCCTAAAACTTGCCTGGGCCATCTCAATCCACAAGAGCCAGGTTAGTGATACATCATCTGATATTTGCAGGAAACCTATGGCAGTACTAGTGGCTCATTGCTGAACAGAAGCAGGATCTCTCCAAGCAGTATGTTTGACTACTTTTGCTCACGCATCGAAATTAGTGCTGTCCTAGGATGATACAGTTTCAAGATCTGCATCGCCGCAGGGATTAGAAGGAATCCAGGTTATTGCTGTTGCTCTTTATAATGATTTAGAAATCAATAGTGCAAAAGAAGTGGGACATGGTGGCGCTGTGGGCTAAACCGCAGAAGCCTGTGTGCTCCAGAGTCAGAAGACCAGCAGTCGTAAGATCGAATCCACGCTACAGAGCGAGTGCCCATCGCTTTCTCCCAGCTCCTCGCCAACCTAGCAGTTTGAAAACATGCAAACTGCAAGTAGATATATAGGGACCACCTCGGTGGGAAGGTAAACAGCATTCCAGGTCTAGTTGCGCTGGCCACATGACAATGGAAACTGTCTTCGGACAAACTCTGGCTTTACAGCTTCAAAATGGGGATGAGCACCGTAAACTGTCTTTGGACAAACTCTGGCTTTACAGCTTCGAAATGGGGATGAGCACCATCCCCTATAGTCGGACACGACTGACTAAATGTCAAGGGGAATCTTTACCCTTACCTAGTGCAAAAGAAACTGCAAAGTGATTTTATGTACAGATTAGAGATGGGGATGGAGCACCAAAATGGCGCTTCGTCTTGGTTTGTGGCTTAGAGATGGGGATGGAGCACCAAAATGGCTTGGTTTGTGGCTCATCAAACTTGACAACCCATAAACCATGAATTGCCCCCCAGTGACCTGACGGACAACAAATCAATTTGTCATTCATTGGGTCTTTTTTTTTTTTTTGGCTTTCCCTTCTCTTGCTATGCCCCATGGCCATAACAAGAGGAGGGAAAGCAGGGATCAAAGCCATCCCGCAGTGGGTGGGGGATCACTTTGATCCCTTTCCCTCACGGTGATCAAAGCCATCCCGCAGCCGTGGGCTGGGGGAATCCCTTTGATTCCACTTTGATCCCTTCCCTCCTTCTCTTATGCCATGTGGGCATAGGAAGAGGAGGAAAGGGGAACCAAGTCACCCCCCAGCCCTGGGGGTGGGATTCTCTTCTGGCAGGCTTTAGTAAGCCACCCGAAGGGAAAACTCCTCTGCTTAAGCCCCCGAGGAACAGCTGATCTGCAGGGGCATAAGCAGATAGGGAACGAAGGGACAAATATAAAAGGCTTATATTTTTTGGTTCATATTCCTAGAGTGGTCATTTGACCAGATAGGCGGGATATAAATAAAATAAATAAATATTCATTGGGGGTCTCTGGACCCCAAGAATGCGAAGCAACGAATATCTGACAAATCAGGGGTATTTAACGAATATCCTGATTCTTATAGTATGTCCCCATGTCTAGTATCGATTTAAGCTACTGTTTTTTATATAATCCTGTGGTTTATTAACCTATCCTAGACACACACTTCTCTCAGGAAAAATAAGAATATAAGCTCTCTGATATTCAACAGCTGCAAAGGGCAGAGGATGCAATAAGCTTAAGGATAAGCCATCTTCAAATGTTGTGCCAGGAATAAAGTGTATTTGAACTTTCTTACTAAATGGCAGAGCATCTAGATACTTTACCACATGTGTTCTACCAGTTTATCTGGGTGCTTGCTTCCTTACAGATTTACTCCTTCTCTCCCCCTCCCCTTTACTAGGGTATGTCTCTTGACTGTGCTGAGATCTCCCTGGCTCGGGTCTTTGAATATGGCCAGGCTTATGTAGCTCTTTCTCGGGCACGTAGCTTTGCTGGTCTTCGTGTTCTGGACTTTGACCCCAAGGTAGTAAGAGCCAATCCATATGTGTTACAGTTCTACAGGCAACTGAGGAGAGACAAATTTCTAACCCAGGTAATCCTGTTATTTTTTTTCAACCATTATAGTCCTATACAAGTTGAAAGAGAGGATGGGCATTACAGTGAACAGAACAAAGGTCTACAGTGCAGATAGTAAACGTCCATCCTCTCTCACCAGAAGGAACCACAGGCTCAAGTCTGTAGTTTGTAACATACCCAATATACCTTTGCCTTTCATATACTGTACTTAAGTCTCTTCTAAGGATGAGTACAGTATACTGCAGGAAATAAGCAAAGAACTAAGAATGTAATAGTAGATCTTAGTAAAGTTTTTTTCTAAATGACTGAAAGTCTTCTTTCCCTAAGAAATTTATACAAGTTCTGATATATAAATAAATAAAAATAAAAATAATTTACTCTGCATAACTAGTTTCTTCTGCTCTACAGAGTTCTCTACATTCCTATCTTCAAGAAGATAAAGAAAACAGAGAAGCTACCTGAAGCATGTCAACCAGAAATCTAGTGCACCATTTTATGGTTCTTTGTCCCTTTATTGAACAGTGCAATAGTTTGAAAAACAACTTGTTCTACAGTTCCATGGGTAAATTTTAAGTTCTGAAACACAGCATGCTAGTCCTAGGCTTGCTCTCTTCTTTACAAAATACATAGGATATGATTTTCCACAATCTAACAAACCATCCATCATAATGCAAAGTGAGTTGGAACAACTTGAAACTCTCATAGCAGACTATCCATTTTTGTATGTCTATGCTTGATTTAACATTATACATACATGAAAACATTATACATACATGAAAAATTTCACCTGGCTAAATCCTATTGTAGAATACTTTGTGCATAACAAGAATCACAAAAGTGGTATTTTGCCAGCTATCTATTGTGTGCAACCCAGGCATGTCTGATCTTGCAATGAGAGCTGCCAAGATCTTGTACTATTTCTGCTTTATACTTTATAGAGAAATTCTGACTGCAGCCAGATAAAAATCAAGCACAGTAGAAAAGAACTAGTGCCTTGTGTAAAGCATTGAACAGCACTTTATTTAAGAAACACATGGATGACAACGGTAAGCTACTTGCTGCTCTCACAGCTACAGAATGGGCTTCAAAATGGCCAGGATCCAACTGAACACAAGCTGTAAATTTCAGCAGTTAATTGCCACAGGTTAAGAGGTTGATGTCTGCACACAAGCTGTAAATTTCAGCAGTTAATTGCCACAGGTTGAGGTTGATGTCTGCGTCTCTTGTAAGAGAAAATACATCTGCCAACTTTCCAACTAGTGGCAATTCACTACTGAGCTCAATACCACTGAACTTCTGCTGGCTGGCATAAGGAACAGGATTTTAGTTAATGTTTGCAAATATAATTCCAAAGAAGGCATATTAGTTTGCAGATAAATTTCAGCAGTTAATTGCCACAGGTTGAGGTTGATGTCTGCGTCTCTTGTAAGAGAAAATACATCTGCCAACTTTCCAACTAGTGGCAATTCACTACTGAGCTCAATACCACTGAACTTCTGCTGGCTGGCATAAGGAACAGGATTTTAGTTAATGTTTGCAAATATAATTCCAAAGAAGGCATATTAGTTTGCAGAACTGTGTGTGTGTCACAGATTTATAGAACTGATGGTAGCACAATCAACACAAGTGTCTTATAAGAAAGTCGTGGGCAAGCAAGATACTTGATCTAGTCTCTGCACCTCCAATACAATGTTAATGAGGGAAGCAAGATCTGTTACGAAACAAATTTGGTGGTGAAGTGGTTTTAAGGTACTTTTAAGAATGGGAATAAAGTATCTTTAAAACAATGTTAACTCAGATTGGTACTTAAGTATTTGATATTTCTGCAACTACATTTATTAGAAGGTATTTAGTAGGCAGTATAAAATGGAGTACTACATTCCACAAACCCCATCATCCAAAATTTTTAATAGCATGGGAAACCATTTCAATTGCACTGTAAATCCGAATAGTTTCTACCACCACTTATTCAACTGACTATAGTGACAATCATCTGTGATTCAAGACATACAAGATGTCAGCTACTCAAGGCACAGGGAGGGACTCTCCAGGGGTGAGATTAACATCAAAATAGCAGCTGGTAAAACATTCTCAAAATTATTAAAGAACCATTACAAAAGGTCAGAAGTTCAATTAGAAATGAGCAGCTGGTAAAACATTCTCAAAATTATTGAAGAACCATTACAATTATTAAAGACCTGCTCTTTACACCCTGAAATTAGGGTGTAAAGAGCAGGTCAAGCTACATAAGCACAACACAGTTGCTATGAGAGCTATGGTGCCTTGCCACTACAACTATTTAAAACCTTTCTTAATCTGAGATACAGTCTCTCGAATGTTCTGAAATATAATGTTCACTGCAAGCATATGGCAGCAATAGATTCCAGTTGGCTCAGTCCAACCCCTCTTTCTTCCTTGTCAAAATATCCAAGGGGAATGTGAATGAATTCAAAGGACATATACCCAAAGTCTTCCAGTCTACAGCTGATGGGGCTGTGGCCTCGTCTTTGGAACAGGCAACAGAACTACCACCTTCCTGCTGCTGAAGACAGCTGGTGGCTGGGTCCATGTGGAGACATGTATCCTGTAGCTCTTTGCTATTTTCAGGCTGGCTAGCTTCTGCTTGTGTTCTGCTCTTCTCACTTGTGTAGCGGGCACGTAACTCCCTATAGCGTTTGTTCATATGGCTCTTGAGTTGTTTAAAGTCTAGATAGCCCAGCTCTTCTGGTAGTGACAGTAACAAGTCTAGAAGCACGGCCGATTCTGATGAAAGCATAATGGAAGAGAGAGAGAGAGAATGTCACTAACATGGCAAAATATAGTATTTTGTTACCTGCTTGTCAGTTTCTCAGATTTTGCCCTATCCTAATCTTTTCTACAACAGGCATGGCAGAAAAAGTAGCATAATTTCTATTTAGCCCCCCAACAGCTAAATCATTTAATTTTTAATAACACCTTAACTAAGGCTTGAAATGGCTTCCAATGTGAAACCTTACTTTATCAAGTAGAACAGTTTTATTTTTAACCTGTTTACCACCTTAAAACAATCAGCTACTGCTACTTTATTTACCAAGGAATATTTCTCAGATCTAGTATTAACACAGGTGCATGTGTGCATGCCATATCACATCTTTTCCTTTCTGTGTTTGTACTGCTTGTATTGGATTTTATCAGGTATGTCATTTTAGGATTTTTTTTCCTGTAGACTGTTAACTCAGTTGTCTCTTACAAGGAAGAGTAAAATACTTCAATGTTCCATAGTCAGACCCCAGCTTAAAGCAGACTCTTTAAGTTCCATTGATTTCAATGGATTTCCTTGAAATCATGACCAGCTCAAAGTCTCTTCAGTACAAGAAAAGATTCTGGATTTTGGAATTTGAAGGACAAGCTTTATCTGTGCCCATTATCCCAAGGTAGCGGGAGAAGGCATAATTTGAAAATGAGTTTTTTTCTGGGGAAGGGTATAGAGTCTGCTTTCTTTTGATACTTTATATAGAAGAATATGATTGCCAAAGCTCAAGAGCCAAACGAATCTATCCACCTCTCATAATCTTATGGAGTGCAGTAAGATAGCTAACCATTACATCAGGACCCTTGTATTCACAGATGATCCATTTTACAATCTACCACAAATGCCTGAAGCCGTGGATAGTAGTGAATCTTATATACAATGAGGTGGGACAAAGGCCACAAGGCCTACCCCCTTGCATGTGGTACCTAGGTCTGCCTTAAAACACACAGATAACCGAAACCATACATATCCCACATATATGTCTTAATGTATTTCCATTTGCACCATCCAACCTGAAGTCTTGACTTACCACCTGGCGGAAGTTCTGGTGCTTTAAGTCCACGTGAGATCACCGAGAGGTATTTGTAAATCTTTTCAAAGTCCACATGAAATCCATTATTTTCTACAGAGCTTGGTTTTTCTGCATTTGATGATATCTGTGCTTCCTGGGATTCTTCACTTGATTTCCTATTTTTGCTTTGAAGAGTTGGTGATGAACACCGGCTGTTTTTCACCTCTACTGGCTTCGGGGGCAAAGAATGGAGCAGAGAGAGTGGTTCAGCAGATGCAATTGTCAAAACCTAATGAGTGGAAGACGACACACAGTAAAGGCAACAGCAAACAATTTCCACTAGAAAAGAAGCTTATTCATTGCTGTAAATTCCAAGTAGTCAGGGATTCTCTAGGAGGTAAAGTTCACTTACTTTGTCTCAGTTCCTTGGTTTGCAAGGACAAGATAGCAAGCAGAGGTAGTAACAGTTACCTGTTTCACAAACACTCTGTCTTACCAAGATGTACAGTGATCTTGCAAATTACTGTACTCACGAGAACAATAATCATGCAACAGAACATACACCATTATTACCTGGGAAAAAGCAGCTGTCACAGCATCTTCAAGATGACCTGTCAATTTCTCAGCTAATTCAGTCCATACCTATGAACAAGAAATTTCAGAAATGTAAGTATCTTTTAGCCTACCCTATGACATATGTTCTTAATTATATTTTGATTCTACTCATACCTCAATAGGTGCTGGAAGTGGAGCATCCTTCTGTTTACACTGGCGATACCGGTACTGTGCCTTGACTGCTTCCCTTGCCACACGCTCTTTTAGCAGGTCCACAAATTCCACAATCTGCAATATCAACACATATGGAGATCATACATGGGGATGCTTTAGGAAAGGTGGCAGCTTACGTTCAGAGAACATCATTCTGCCAATACAAACACTTGGGTAAGAGTGAAGCTGAAGTCAGAGCAATATTTATAAGGATTGCCCCATTTATTTCTGTCACTCATAGGGAATAAAGATAATGTCCAATCACCCAACAAGGCTAGAAAACACAGCTAGAAAACACTCCATATTTATGTTTTCAAATATGGAGTGTGGCTCTTATTTCTTTGTCCCAAGATCCCTAGCTGTAGCCCGAAATCTGCAGAGCTCCTTGGTGAGCCTATTTCATCTAAGCCTGCAGTCCTGAGCCTAATGCAGACTTTATGGCTATTTAGCAAACTGGTGTTCTATCCTGTCTCACCTGTGCCCAAACTAAACACCCAGTTTTATAAAAAGTTCTGCCTGAGAGAATATGAACACTCAATGCCTGTTGGCTGGTTTTAATAATGGTAATAGATCTGGACATTTTTCTTATGGTCCAACATAGGCTTATGGAAGCCAATTGTTCCGGATACCAACAGGTACACACAAAGGGCAAAAACCTCGTGAGCTTATGACCCATATCCTTCTGCTGGAAGGATCAATCTGCAACCAGTCCCCTATGTGCAAGATGCAAATCCCCTTGAAATTCCACAGATCGCAGGACTCTGTTCATCTATCCTCACAGGCGTTTTGCTGCAAGGCTCTGAAGGCCACCTCACTTTCGCCTTCAAACTCATGCTGTGGCCAAGCCAAGCCCGGCATATCTCTTTTGACGATCTACTGCTGGTGGTGTTGAAGTCCCTAGCCCACCCATCTTAAGAGTCCTGTCCTCCGTCACGAGACCACACCGGACCCACCTCGGCTTCTTCTCTCCAAGGCAGATACTTTTTCAGCAGTTCTGGTCGTAGTGGTCCCGGAACCCGAGCTTGAGCTCTCAAGCCCTGGAGAAGGCGTCGTTTTTCTCGATCTGTCCAAACCCGGTTTACGAAGCCCAGGTCACAGGGAGCAGGAGCTGAACGCTGCCTCAATGGTGGCTTCATAATATTGCAACGGAAGAACAACAAGCAACTTATAAGAATAGAACTGAAGAAGGAACGCCGGAAAAATCTCCTGCTTGTAACTGTAGTTCAGCAGGGAACCTTTCTCTAACCCCCTTGCAGGCCAAACCTTTCTTCCATAGGGACACGCTGTAACTCAATGTCTCTCTGCTTATCCCCCGACCACACTTTTAAAGCAAACCACCCCTTCCTCCTTCCAGCGTTTAATGGCGAAAAGCAATACATAAACGACTCTTCCCCTGCGTGTCGCACACTGATGACGTAGACATCTAACGCAATCTGCCGAAGTCCAATACAGGCTAAGACGGAAAAAAGCCTGGAAATGCTTCGTGGTCGAGCTCTAGGAAGGGCGGGGTTGGGTTTTTGATTGCGGTGACGTCAAAAAGGGCTCCGAGTAGCGTGGCAACCGAGTGTTTCGTGTTAAGAATTTTATTGTTAGGCGCCCGGATCTTCGTTGCCATGGTGACAGGAAAAGGGACGCGCGGGCCTGCCCTCTGGCGTGGGACAGATTGCCCTTCGTTCTGGCTACATGTGTTGCCCGGCGGTCGCAGTTACTTTGGGGATCCTAGCCTTGTTGTTCTGCGATAGGCCCGGTAGGGAGAAGCGTAATGGCGAGGCACCCGGTTGTTTAGAGTGGTTCCCGTTCCTTTGACGCTAAGCCTCTGCACAAGGATGTGGAGCACATAGTGCTTTGCATATGCAAGCAGAGCAGTGGGTGAAATAAGGGCCAGTAACTTAACAGGCAAAAACTAGAAAGTGACAATCTTCCCATTTCTGAGCTGGCATGATGGTGAAAAGTACTTCACCTATTGGGTTTCAGCTTGAAATGTAGATGTTAAAAACTATTTGATTCCGAACAGAAATAATCATTTCAGACTCAGAATGGTTTGAACAGATTGTGCAAAAATTCTCATTTTGACTACAACACATAGAATCCCCTAGTTATCGTGACCATTCTTGCTGGAGAGTTCTGGGAACCAAAAAAAGAATAAAGGGGAAAAGGCAACATTTCTAAACTCTAAGTTGGCTACTCTTCTCGTAGATCCTTTCTAAGCTCCAGACCTCAGGTTTGTTAAGTTCACCTATACAACTTAAGAACAAAAAAGTAACATAGGATGATGGAACAGTGGCACACTACATGAAAGTTGGCGGGAATACTGTAGTGAGAATGACAACATGTCATTTACATATTAAATAAACACATTACTGTATTCCATAAACCATACTCTGAAATAGCTTACACAGAGAATTTTTTTTTAACTTGGCCTGGAAATGTATATATTGGAATTTAAAATATCCATAGTAAATACATTTAAATACATCTAAATTACTACATAATAGCAATTCTAACCCAGAACACTAAGATTCAGTGTTTTGCAGTGCTGCCAAAATACTTAGTCATATTCATAATCATATTTTTCTGGTGAATGGTAAAAGTAGGGGATAAGAGATGAGAATCAAGTTAGCACTCTCAAATACATGTTAATTTGTTTCCATTTAAGTTAAAACTATTTGCAGCCATATCACCCAGTGTTTGATTGGAAAATTCCAGTTTTCTTAATGATAACTTGTTCTGTAGATATATGGAGTCTGTATGTTGGACTTCAGAATCTTAATGCAGTTTTAGGAACCCTCAGGTTCAGTAGCCTGGATAATATAGCAATTATTCAGCGATAGTAGCTTACTGATATCTTAACATTTTTTCAGGCTGTGGAGAGATTCCCCCTGATACACACCACTCTGATAATGGCACTTCTTCAGGACTGGAAAATGTGGGAGAGCCATCACCTCCTGAAGCAATGGGTAAGAACATACTAAAGATACGTTCAGTTCAGCAGATGAGAATATCATATCTGCTTAGAATCAGCTGTGTTCTATCCAACGTGACCTTGTTTCATGTCTTTTCAGTGGCTGTAAGATAATAATTGTGCAACTTTCTTCTGGTTCCCATCTCTACAGCTTAACTTCACAAGATCTGGATGAATCCTATTCTCAAACAAGAAAGTTTCCAAGTCACCTCTGTATTGTGATAGTCATGCCCCATCAACTATTTTACAGAGCAGTTTGCCTCCTCTTGGTTTCCAACACCCCAAAAGAGAAGATAGGGAGTCCTGCTTCCTTGAGAGTGACTATAATGGTTCATTAAATTAATCTGAAAGAGGGTGGTGGCTGTTTGAAAGTTGGAGAACGAGTGTTGTCCATTTTAGCTGGCAAGAGTTCTTATGTTACTATGGACTATTTCTCCCTTGCATCTAAGAATAAAAGGTCTACTCCCATTAGCAGCACAGGAAGATGCCTTATTTGTATTTCTAATTAGTATTGTTTTTCTAGGGTAGGGGTGAGAAAGTGTGACCACCAGACCTTTCTTGCAACTCCCAAGGTCTCCCAATACTTCCTGTAAAAATACATACTTTGTGTTAAAGTAGTCCAACTGCACTTTGTCAGCAGCACTCAAGGGGACATAATGACAATTGCAAGATGTTATCAGCCACCCTGACTGTTTCAAGTGAGAAATAAGCTTTTTTAAAAAAATACTGTAAATGAAAAATCAGTTGGTGTGATCATCTGAGATGCAAGGAGAAGTGAAAATAGCCTCCAGCATTACCCAGCCTTGTTCTAGGGCAGTGATGGCAAACCTATGGCACGTGTGCCACAGCTGGCATGCAGAGCCCTCTCTGTGGGCACATGAGCCATAAGTTGCTGGATTACTACCCCCACCAGCCAAACCTGAGGCAGCAGCTGCAGCCACAGTGCTAGCACCCCGACAGGCAGCAGGCCAGCAGCTGGTGCTGGTGGCAGTGGGCTGGCTGAGCTATAGGTATGGTGGGGTTAGGCACAACTGGAGGCAGATCCGGAGTGGGGTCTGGACTCACCTCTGTGCCCGGGATTCCCTCTTCCGCCACCACTTCTCCCGCATCCACTGTCGCCCACAGCCTGCTGGTTTTTTGTTTTGTTTTTTAGCAGTTTGGGCACTTGGGCTCAAAAAGGTTCACCATCACTGCTGTAGGGTATCATCGAGGGCATCTTTTACAGCTGTTAAGCTATCCGTAATAAGATGTAGGACTGAATTTGGAATCTTCTAAATTTCAGTGGTTTAGGTATCTGCCTGTGCAGTTAGAGGTTGGGAGTTGGATTCCCCACTGTGCCTCCTCTGAGTAAAGCCAACCTGTGTGGCCTTGGGCAAGCTGCACAGTCCCAGGGTGCCCCCAGAAGGAGGGAATGCTAAACTACTTCTGACTATTTTCTACCTGGAAAATCCTGAAAGGAATCACCATAGGTCAGAACTGACCTAATGGCATGGGATTTTTATTAAATGAAAGTAAGTGCTTTCCACTGATATATTAATTCATTTATTTTTATTTAAAAATATTTATTTACCTTGCCTTTCTCCTTAGAAGAATTTGAGGTGGCTACAACTCCTCTCCCCAAAGGAGGGAAAAGACTGCAAAGTAACATCTGTCCCACATAGATAGAAGCTTTGGTAGCAGTTTTGCTTTTTTGAGCACATGAGCTTAGCCAACTGAAAGATATTCGGTAAATGTCCCTGTAACTGCAGACTCCAGCTAAAAATCACATCTCTATTCCCCTCACAGCCAAGGCCACATTCCCTTTCTTTGTAATTGACTTGTTACTGTTGATTCTTCCAGATCCCATTTATGTTCATATTGGTGCCAAGGAAATCACTCTCCCTTGCAAGCCTTCAAAAACTGACGTTGTATTTGGTATGAATCCCAGCTACAACTGGAGCCTGGATAATGGAGGTTAGACATTTTTGCTTGAGGATCTAGATTTCTCTGTAGATGTCAGAAACAGATACTGTATGTGATTAAGAGAAGAGGAAAAAGCCCCTGCCACTATGTACATATTAAAACTAAAGATAGTTGTGCTAGTCAAATAAGAAAAGAATACTGTATCTTGTATCCACAGTAGGGCAACATCTTTGTTAGGACCAACCAGAATGACACATAACTATGCAAGCTTTTGGCCTCTCCAGAACTCACCATCAGGCTGGATGACAAGGATTATTAAACCTGAACACCTTTCTAGTATTTTGTTTATTCCTGATAAAAGGGTTTGTGGGGGTACATTTATGGGGGTGCTAGGTTTGCCAGTGTCTCTTCAGAGTGGCCAGCTTCGGTGCTATACCTTCGAGACTGAAGGATGCCTAACTAACAGGTTTGCCAGTGTCTCTTCAGAGTGGTCAGCTTCGGTGCTATACGTAGTTATTTTTTTGCATCCTAGGCAAATGTGAACTTCAAAGACCTATACAGTTTCTGTTAAGATTTTGTGGCATTTTTTGACTCTACCCTCTGCTTCCAGAAATTTGTGCCCCCTATAGGTATTCAAGATGTTCTGAAAAATATTTCCTTGATTTTAGCTGGCTTGTATCTCCCTATTCTTTTATGTTAACTGTGACACAGGTCTTCCCAGAATCTCTTGATCATCCTTGTTAATAAAAAATAATTGAAGTAATATATAAGAAACCTTCCATTTTTAACACAGGATTTTGTTGTAATAGTTGCAAATTATCATAATTGACTAGGTTAACTGTAAGTTCATGCTGTTTGTGCACAGTTTTTGTAAAATTAAGCATGTAAACCTGAGCCCCAAGAAAAGATATTATGTGGATGTTCACAGCACCAAAGGAGGAAGACACTGCACAAACTGAGCAAAAGATTGGGCAGAGACTAATAAGCCTAAAGCTAGGAAGGTTGAACTTCCAGAGAGAGTATTAAAAGGAATATTCTTTTCTGTTCTAATGCATGTGTCTAGTCTGTGATTTTTGACTGGGTGGGATGGAATTTTTCCCTCTTCAGACTGTATGACTCTACCCTCTTCTTCCAGAAATCCATGCTCTCCCTGGTGATGCTACCCTGACTCTACATATGTTTCGCCCTGAGGATAGTGGACTGTATGAGTGCTCAATCTCCTATATTAAACAAGGTCAACTCCACACCAAGACTTTCTACCATACAGTGGTGGGTGAGTATATTCCGGTTGTCTTGAAAGATGGAAAAAGTATAGGAAGCTGGACATTTTGACTGTGTGAGTGACAAGGAAGAGGACAAGATTGTGATCCATACATAATCTGGCTAGGAGTAGTAGAAGCTATGGAAGAAACATATGTAGGGAGAAATAAGAAAAACCCTTTTAGCTGTGGCTTGAGCCTATAGTCAAACGTGTCTAGTTATAGCATTACTTTATTGAGAATCATTGTATTTCATAGGAACCAGGTCATCATAATCTTTTGACTCATTGGTGGTGGACATGATGCACAATGGCTCCCAAACATTAGTCCCCAGGTGTTGCTTGTGGGAGTATGCGTTGCTGGACTTCATCTTTCTGAGGTCCTAGCTAATGTGTGAGGTCCCGAGCTATAGATTCTGGGAGTTCCACTCTAACCATACCCGTGAACCAGTGTGGAAACTGCAGATGGAGAGTATGTGATTTCTACAATGTTGCCCACCTGTTTGTAAAGAGAGTTATGTTATAATTCCTCTCAACCTTTTTTTTTATTTTCCCAGGCTATCACATACGTGGAGAGCTGGAGATCCTACTGGTATTTGAGAGCAGCTCTTGTGATGAGGATTTGACTCGTGGGTTCTTGAGAACCTTGCATGAGCAGCTGAATCAAGTGGTGTCTCGCCTCCACACTGAGATCCTCGTTGGGGATACCACCTGCTTCCCAACCTTGAACAAGCCTTTAGATGCGTTCAACCTTCAGGTAGCGCTAAAAGGTCAGAACCCAGAAATACAGCAATATTAAAGAGAATGGCAAAGAGGGTTAGGTTCAATCACAGTTTGGGGTAGAAATGAAATTTAGAGTTGTGGAGATAGGTGGAGAAAGTCAGATTTTACAATCTATGGCTGCCTACTGAATTCATCAAAGGTCTTCTCCTTGCATGTGTCTTTCCTAAATATTCCAGAATGACAGTTTTTGGATAAAAGGATATTTCTTTGGATGGTGGGAAGGTCATTTCTTCAGCAACAGCAGTTGCTTTGGAATGTTGTCATGAACTGGACAGAAAAGCTTTACTAAATGGAGCAAACACAAATTTCATATTGCATTCATAAACGAAAGGGAGTAAGAAGAGAAAGATGCCAGGAGTTTGGACCATGTATGCTTTGCTGGAAAAATGAACCTACTGGTTAAGACTCATTATAAGGACAGTAATGTATTTGTTTATTTTCTTTGTTTCCTAGTGTCTCCCTTCATCAAGGGCTGGGATGAATCCTGCTCCCCCAAGATTGATCAGCTAGAATTTGAATGTTACCACTCAGCGGTCCAGACCAATCTACAGAAAGTGAGCCATCAGACATAATCTCTGCCCTTCCAGGAATGGTTTGCAAGGATTTATACCTGGTATACATGTTTGCTCTGCATGCTTCCTGGGGAGCTGTCCTTCATGAGGCTAAGAGCAACCAGGTCTTTTATCTTTTGGATCAATTGCACTGGAAGAAGGTTAATGCGCAAGCATTGTTTCTACACTTTGAGAAACTTGTGTTTTGGGAGTACAGGTCTCAGACTCCCTCAGCAAGCATGATTAATGCCATGTTTGCTGATGGATTCTGAGATTTGGTAGTCTGAAAACAGTAACTTTCCTAGGCTATGAATCTACTTCGCATGGTATAGCTGTTTCCTCTGTAATAGAGGCTGCATGGCTTCTGTATTGAACTCTCTTCACTGCTCTCACCCACCCTGTCTGCCACTTTGGATGCTTTTTGAACGTATATGCCAGCACTCAGCAGTAAGTGATCTAAGAGGCTTTCAGTGTTCACTGTGGAGCAGAAATTTCATGGTTATGAAACAACTAGGGAAGACGATATATTAACATGGTGTTAACAATAGAATTGCTACACTTTATTAACTCACTTTTAAATGGCCTTTGCATGATTCTGTGATCAAGCAATTATCCTATGTTTTTCCTGTGCTTCTTGTTTTTCTTTACTTTTTCAAAACATATGAGCACACAGTGTGATTATACATTTCACGTATCATCCTGTTTGGCCCCTGGATTTTTATTTTGGTTCTTCTTACTTCTCTGTTCTGACCACCCTGCCCATCTCCCCACAGGCCAAGGATGCATTGACTGATTTCTTTGAAGAGAACAAACATTTCCACCTGGGAGAAACCCTTGGCTCCCGTGCCTCCTTTATGAACACCTTTTTCAACTTCCTAGAGGGTGGAAAATGCCAGAGCGGTTACGGACAGACACAGGAACTAGAGGAACGCTGTCCCGACTGCTGTAGTGAGTGGAGCAGGTGATCCATGAGATGCTGCCTCGTCCCCCATAAACACCGCCTTTGGCCCCATAGAAGGGGATTTCTGTTTACTCCTCTAGAAGGCTTCTCACCAGACCTGCCCCTTTTGGTTATTTCCCTCCCTTGTCTTTTTTCTTAGAGAAGGGAGAGGGAAAGTGGAGCCCTCTAGATTTTGTTGGATTGTGCTTCCTGTTAATTCTAGCCGGTGTAGATAACTGAGATGAATGCCAGCTGTTGCAGTCCAACTAGATTTGAAGGAAACCCCCCCACTTTACTCACTCATGCCCTAGAATCTTTTCCACACCTGTGTCAGCTATAGCATCGTCCAACTTCAGATTCCATTCAGAACTCCACGATCCAGCCAATAACCACTTCATGTTGCTAGTGTTTCTCATGAATCAAAAATGGGCCACAACTTCTTTGAGGAGGTCAGGATGGGTCTTGTAAGTGATCAACGTTGAATGCTATCCTCACATCCCTCAGCTTAGCTTGTTGGAGGAATGAAATCTGTGCCCTTTCTACATCCCAGACTCTGCTCTTTTCACTCTACCACACCCTTTTTGTCTTTATTTGCTATTTTGTGTGACAGCCTTGTGCCCTCCTGGAACATATAGTGAGGCTGCAGTTGATGGCTGTGTTCTTTGTCCAACTGGGACCTATAGCCTGCACTATGGGACATCTGTCTGTATAATGTGCCAGCATAACTGGCCTACTGAACATCCTGGTGCCAGAAGAGCTGGAGAGTGCATGAGTTCAAGAGGTACGTGTTAGTCTGGAGAGCTGTTGTTGCAAAGCACCAGGTCTTATTTCTTCAGAGTCTCCTCTGAAGTCCCTGATAGGAATTCTTGGGCTGGCAGATTTTGAGGTCCAGACTAGATGGGATAAGACATGTGGTGTTGAATTTAATGTGTAGGTTTGAAGAAGTCTAAATAAATGCATGAAAATAGCATCAGCTTGTGGGGCACAGTAGTTGGGTTTATGGGCAATGGAGGAGGGGGGGAAGGAAATTTCTTTGCTACACCAATGGAGGATTTCCTGACAGTATAAATATAAGCTTCAAAGAAGGGATCATATCAGCGCCAAACTGTTTAATTTTTTTAAAATTTGCATGTTACATGCCCTTAAAAATGCACTTAAAGTTGCATTTCTGTTGTATTAACTTTGGACCGAAGCCTCTTGTTTTTCTTATGATGCCAGTTGCACAAACCAGAGGAAGAGGTCTTAACCAGCATTTCACCATCTCTGAGAATGGTTATGAGGTATAGTGGATGAGTCTGACATACCAAGGAACCATTGCTTACTCTCATATCCCAACCAAGGAAGTATGTACTGGGTTAATAGTTATAAGTGTGTGTGGATTTGGTGCCTGCTGTCACCAAAATTCATATATACTTTCTGGATAACTCCCTTTGTCTTTCCTCTGTGGTACTTGAGTCTCCCCACTTAACTTGAAACTAGGAGAGGTAGTTGCTACAGCTGGATGAATGACTTGGCTGTGAATGCCATGTCCTATAAAATGGAGAGCCAAAGCTCCTGAATGATCCATGTGCTTTTTCATGCAGCCTCTTTATCACGCCGGTTTCCTGTACTGATGATGGCACTTGTCTTACTGCCACTTGGTTGCCTTTGTCTCATTGTGCTGTGAGTTCTGGGTTATTGTTGTTCCTCTTTAATCTCAGTTCTGTAGTAAAGTTTGGTAAACCAAAGATTTATAATGGTTTACTGGTCATTAATCCAGTATGGAGCAAGGTAGATTTGGTATAAATCAAGTCAATTTAAATACAGTTATTTAAATCATTAGTCAATAAGACTTGATTTAAATCATTATTTTTAAATGTAAAGACTCATTCTTGCTCGTAGTTATAATTAGAGATGGGATTATAAATATCCCTGGTGCAGGTGTCCCAGATCCCCAGACCCGCCGCCCAGAACCAACCAGTCCACTTACAAGTTGCGGCACAGTGCATGAGGCCAGTGTCCTGCTTGGTGCGCCAATCTGTGATGAAGCCCGGCTGCCACTGCTCCACCTTCCTGCTCTTCTGGCCACTCCAGCCAGGGGGCAGGGAAGTCAATAAATAATCAGATCATTTATTATGTGGTCACAGTCCCAGGTTAAACAACCAAACAATAAGAACAAAATAAAGGACAGACAGACAGACAGACAGACAGACAGACAGACAGACAGATAGATAGATAGATAGATAGATAGATAGATAGATAGATAGATAGATAGATAGATAGATAGATAGATATTTGTCCATGGGATTCTGGGAAATCCCAGAAAGAGAAATATATGGTGAGATGTGCTAGCTGTCCTACATGATTTCAAAATTTTCTCTTATCCAATGCAGCTTTTGCTATCGCTTTCGCCGTCGCTGGAAGATGATTGCCTTTTTTATTGCAAAAGATGAACAGATTGACCAGGAAAAAGAAACCCCAATCCTTTCTGGAGATGTTGCCCTTCAGGACTCCCAAGGATATGATTCTCCTGTGCCACCTCCTAGCCTCGAGCAGCCTTACAATGAAGCAGTTATATTTCCACCTTGTGCTGAGGAAGCCGCTGAGCATGGTCCTAAGGAAGCCACTGAGCATGGTCCTGAGGAAGCCATTGAGCACGGTCCTGAGAATGTTGCCATTCTCGACTCCCAAGAACAGGAGTCTTTAGTGCCACTGTCTCCTAACCCGGAGCATCCTGCTGACAATGAAGCAGTCATGTCTTCACCTCCTGCCACTCTGGAAAATCAGCCAGGTGGGGTTACATCCCCACCCCCTCCCATGCCAGAAGAACTACCTGTTCTTGAAGATGATGGTTTCCCACCATCTTCACCTGCCACAGATGTAGAAAGCGATGATTTCCATTAAATTACTGCTCAGCAAGCCGGCCTTGTTCTAGTTATTACAGGCTACTTATAAGCTTATTGGCTGGGACCAGAGGCAGATATTAAGGATAACTCATGACAGAAATTCTTCACTAATGTGAGTGGCTGAGTGTCATAGCGCATGAATTTATCTGAGTGCAGAGATTATGCAAATTAGCTTGCTTTATTTGATGATTCCAGATTTCCTTTAAAGTCTAATGCATGTCACTTCTCAGCACAGAGCTGCTTCAGCTCTAATGAGGGACTATATCTAGGATCTCTTTTTGGCATGAAATTGTCTCAGTTCATTCCTTTGCTCCTTCTGCTGTGTCAAATTGCCTTCTGGCTTATTTGTCTGGTTTCATGGTTTCCACAGCTGAAAGATAATGAAAGTTTGAAACCACATTCATTAATTTCCGTAACCTGCATCTCTCTCAGTAGAACCAGCGTTTGAGGTCAGCAGCCTTGAGGCTCTCCATTTTCGTTTTCAGTAGACCTGAAGAGCTATGCCAGTTTTATTTGGCATCAAGCAGAGCTTATCAGTAGAGTGAAACATCAGGTCAGAAACTCCAGCCCTTCTCATAAGAAGACAAATGACTCGCAGAAGACAAATACTGTACACCATAATTCAAAACATTGACCAAAAGCTATGCTGCGGAAGCCAATGACACCATTATCTGGTGCTGGTAAATTTTCATTTAAAGTAATTGAAAGCATTCCTATTCCTCCATTTCAGGTTCTGAGTCTCCCTAGGGTTTCCTTTAGCCCTGAAGAATCCTTTGGAAACCTTGGGATTTTCAGAGGAGGACTTTTAATAGCCAAGAATCACTTCCAACGATTCCAATCCCAGTGGCACCAAACCAGCAGTGATATTTGACTATTCAAGGTTCCCTACCCCAACATCCTGAGGCTCCCAAAGGCTTTTTTAGGGCAAAAAGAAGGTCCGTGGAGCCTTGGAACCTGAAATGGGGGATAGGAGGCTTTCAGTTAATTTAAAGTAACTTACTGGTGCTGGGTGATGATGTCATTGACTTCTGTAAGCATAAATTTATGCAAGAGGATTTTGCCCATTGCCTTCCTCATCTCTCCTACAACATTGGTGCTATGGCTCCTTGAACAAAGCAGCAACACTGTAGTTGTTCTTGTCTCTGTATGTCTGTCACCCAGCTGAAGAGCAGTCAGTCAGTTTAGGTTGATGGCTAAAGTCTACAGTCCCCAACTTCTGAGAGTTTGAACTGAATTTTCTTAAAAGCCAGAGAAGAAGCAACAGTAGCTGAGAGCAGTTGAGCGAATAATCCATGAGTTTCCATTTCTAATTTTTCATTATCTTCCAGGAGCTGAAGCCGTACCTTGCCCCTCCTGCCCCCTGACCCACACTTAGGATCTAGGGCTTGCAGTCACATCGTCTGCTATCAAGTATATCCTCTGTAGAGAGCAAGAGACTTATCTTCCGGTGCAGTGGTTCCGAACATTGGATAACCCAGATGTTCTTGGACTGGAATTCCCAGAAGCCTTCACTAGCAGCTGTGCTGAGTTTTTGGGGACTTGCAGATCAAGAACACATGGGTTAACCAGAGGTTGGAAACCTCTGCTCCAGTGGATCTCTGAATCAGTCCTTGACTACACAGAATTGAAGTAAGACTTGGACAAGTGACATATCATTAAGCTAGAGCAAAGGCCTTGAGAATAACTGGAATATAGGATAATGGCTTCATCTTGGCAACTGATTCCCTTACTGCCTGCAACGTCTTTCATTTTGTCCAGACCCCTCCATCCTTTCAGCTGTTTATCCCTTGTGTTCATTCAGCTGTTTGCCAGCATCAGCTGGTTGTTTCTCTATTAATCCTTCTCATCTCCATAGCAATAGTGTGATTTGGTTGTGGGCTGCTTTGTAATCTGTGCTGGTGCTTCAGTGACAAAACTGAGCAAGGTAAGGCAGGTGTGGTTTGCTCATTAAGAACACAGTACTCACCCTTATCCCCTTTTTGTGATGGTGGTGGCTGGGGAGATAACTAGGGGAGATCTTTCTGTACAAATGGACACGACTTTTGGTGAAGATTCTGGCAAAAGAGGGGAGGAAAATGGATCTTTTTTATGTGATACCTCTATGCCATTGAGGTTTGCAGGAACAGAAGCAAGAAAAGAAGAATCCAGCCCCTTTAGAACAGCTGCAGGCCAGATTTTTTGTTCTGTTCTGTCATGGCCTCAACTGAAGAACAGGACCGCACTATCTGTGCATGCATTCAAATGACAGGGTTAAGGAATTCCTCACCTAATGAAAAGAGGCCAATACCACTTCTCTGGTTCATACTATCAGAGAAAGACTGCAACCCATTCTGCCTTGCCTGGTAAAGCCTCTACTTTCCAAAGGCAAAAGAGATTCTTTTTGAAGCCAACTACAAGTGAAATAGTGAAAGTGGCAGCAGCGACAATTACTCACTTGCAGATTACTCACTCTGCAGGTTACATTTTTGCTTTTATTTGACAAATAAATGTTGTAATATTTAGCCTTAGATCAGGGGTCTCAAACTCAATTTACCTGGGGGCTGTTGGAGGCAGAGGCTGGGCTGCATCAGATTTTCCGCCAAGTGGAACAAGAGCCCGAGGAAGCTGCCCGGGAGTTTCCTTAGCCCGACTGGGGCTCCGAGGAGGAGGAGGGGCGCATGAGCCCTCATCCCTCCTTCACCACCACCACCACCAGCAGGACGAAGAAGCGGAGAAGGGAGGGAGTGCCGGCAACCGCCTAGCTAGGGGGAGGAGGGCACAACATAAAAAAACAACCCTCACAGAATTCGCCTTGCCAAAGGAGAAAAGCCCCCACCAGTACCCGCGAAATTAAACAGAATGGGGCGGGGCCCCCACAGGTGCACGTGCACGCACACAAACACATATGGAGGTCCAGCAACTTTCCTCTGAGGGTCCCCATTCAAAAAAGGTGCACTCAGCAGCAGCAGCTACCCCCACCACAACAGAGGAGCAAACTTTCCGAGGCGAGCCCAGGCAGCCTCCAGAGCCGAGGCAGTTGAAGCAGGACGAAGAGGAGGAGGAGGAAGCACTGCAGGGCACTGAGACGGCCACTGGCCGGGCTGGTGCTGGGGGTGCTGAGAGAGAAAGGGAGCCAGAGAGCCACTTCCCTGGAAGAGGTGGTGGCAGCGGCAGCAGCTGCTGTTGGCGGCTTGGCTCGGGTGCTCAGGGAAAAGGGCCGGCAGTGCACCTCGCTTGCTGGCTCTCCCCCAAGACAGCGCCTCTTGCAACCTCCATCCAGAACTGCAGCCTGCCAGCCGGCAGACAGGCAGACTGACTGGCAGGCTGCAGTTCCGGATGGAGGGTGCAAGAGCAGCTGTCTTGGGAGAGAGACGGCGAGCGAGGCGAGGCTTTGACTCTTGACAGCAGAGGATGCGTGGGTGCTTCAGAGGGGGCAGGCAAGGCGGGGACCACAAACTATCATCCAGTGGGCTGCACATGGCCCCCGGGCTGCATGTTTGAGACCCCTGCCTTACATAATCTGAAAGTCACAAAGATATTTGTATCATCCATTGCAATGTAGTGGAGATAGCAAATATCAATTTAAGCTATGGTAATGCCTCAGCATTTTTCCATAAGGAGTGAAAAAGAATCACTAATCAGTGGCATTGTTGCTAAGATGACATGAGCCAATTCTTTCTAAAGGGGGGCTATTGAAAGATATCGTGTATGATGACCATGAGGAGTGCTTGGGCAAGTTACTTTTGGACCACAATCTCCCAGGCAGCATGGTCCCAGGCTGGTGAATTGTGAGAATCATACTCCAAAAGGTAATTTGTCCAGACTGTGCTGTGATAGCCCAGATTCTTACAAGAATACTTCCAAATATTGTGGTTGGGTTGGGTGAACAGCCGTTTCAAAGAGGCCATTTTCAATATTACATCCATGGCAAATGTAATGTGTCCTTTGTTCAGATTTACATAATCTTGAAAAGAGGCTGCCTTTGGTTGCTGAGGAACCATACAATAGTCCTTTCAACATCCTTCTAAATCCTCTGTCAGAGTGGCCCTGCAATTGTGCAGGAATAGGCGAATCTGCCTTGAACTGAAATAGATGTATAGAGCTAATGCAACAGTGACATCTTGTGTTTATTGTAATCCAAGTAACCCTGTTTTTGGGATTGTATCATTTCATTGCAGCAGATAAGTAATTTGGGCGTTAATGGTAAAAAAAAGTAATTTGGGCATTAATGGTTAAAAAAAAAATCCAGTGTCCATGAAACTATTTGTTTGTAATGAATGCTCTGTGGATCTGGTTTGCAGGCTGAGAACTGTCAGGCTTAATAACAGCATAGCTCCTTTGCCCTCCTTTTCTCAACCAGCCTCAGAGTCAGAATGACAATAACTGCAGAAATAAAACCAACACAGTAACAGAGAGACAGCATCATACCTGGAAGCAGTGACTACACATGTTCTTGACTGCAAGTAACATACTGTACCTTAATAAAGCACCAACTGATGCATGGCAGTAGCAAAATGATGTTATTGCTCAAAACAAAATAGCCACATTTTACTTTGTACAATCTGCCATCGCATAGCCAAAGACACAAGATAAACAGCTTTGCAATTAGGAGGCAAAAATTACTATCCTTCCAGATATATGTCCAGTTTGCACAGTCAATATGCAAATAAAACCTCCATTGTTTTCTTCTGGTGCCCAATCACAAGAGGAAGCTAATTCACAACTTGCAGAGCTGCAAAACAATATTATAAAATGGTCATATGCCCTTTTCTGCTTAAGTGAGCTCTGCTCCTAATTGCAAAGCTGCCCATCTTGTACAGTATGTTTTAGCCATTTTAGCCAGGTAGAGAGATGGGATGCCTGTGTTAAGAGCCCCTAAGCTCTTCATAAGAAGCGTTTGAGACCTCTTGCAGGAAGAGTGCTACCACACAGGCATCCCATTACTCCATGCAAGATGTTCACATTTCTGTCTCTATGGGAGGAAGCAGGATTTTGCAGAGAATGAGAGTACTTGCGTGCAGAATGACA